TCTCTCTCTCTCTCTCTCTCTCTCTCTCTCTCTCTCTCTCTCTCTCTCTCTCTCTCTCTCTCTCTCTCTCTCTCTCTCTCTCTCTCTCTATGTGCATCGTGCTCTGTTTTTCTGTGTCTCGTCTCTCGCCCCTTTCTTTGCATTGCACTCTCTCTATCTCTCTGTGTACTGTGCTTTGACTTCAGGTTCTCTTTTGTAGCGTTACCTTTCTGGTCTGAATGGCAAAAGTGCTTGGGGGACGAGCTTTTTTGCGCTGGTGATGTCTAAACAATGCACTGAATAATTAACTGATTATTGCATCATGACTGATTTATATTTTATCCTGCAGGTATATTTAATGGACACTATGCTGTGGTATTCAGCAATGGAATCTATAGTTGGTATTGTTGGGGGAGCAAAGCAACGGCTTGGAGAGGTAAAATTTCCATTCACTACCCATACCCTTTCATTATTGAAAAGCTAAGCTGACTATGAGTGGTGTCTAGAATGAGCTTCCATCAAGTTCCATGCTGATTTAGCAACTGTTTCTTCTGTCCCCTATAAACAATAAAAATTCTATCGGTCTGATTCCTCGACGCTGTCTTGTCATACAAGATAACCGATTGCGCCTTTTGAGAAGGGTTAAGTGTCAGGATGGCCAAGTCTAGCATCGTCAGCCGAACAAAACGCCTGGTCATTATCGTCGTATGTAGACCGAAAGTTGGCCCAAATACAGCTATAATGACCGGGCATTCTATTCGGTTGAAGATGGTAGTGCTTGAGTTCCTGTCTGTCTATAAGCATACAGACGGACAGATATGCTTAACATGGCCATCGGGACGGTTGTCGATGGGAGATTTTGGGCAGGAGTTGGAGGACTGGAATGTTCTGAAGGACAAGCTGAATGAATTTCCTATGCCAGTGTTGTTCCTTTGCCCAAAAAACGGAACTTTGGATGTCCCAGCATACAGCTGAATTCCCTCCAGTATTTTCTATTACTGGACGATTACCCTGATTTCAGATGCCAAATCTGAACGTCTACGGTATGAGACAGTTCGCCGGTCGCAGACCACCCTCAGACGATGCTTAGTACCCTTGATGGCCATTTCTCGTGCAATCTTACTGTCATGGCCACCTTTTGCCAATCTAGGTGGCTGCGATGTACAGGTTTGTCCAGCCTATCTAGCTGATCTTCCTGTCCGTTCGTAGCGGAGGTTTAAAGTTTTGCAAACATCAGGGATATGTCTGTCAGATTTTAGTTTTTGCAGCAAAAAAACTGTGCCTCGTGGCGATGGTTAGTGCTGCCCGCTGAGCCTCGCGCCTGTGGCTTGTGACACCAAATTTTGAACTTCAGATCTGCGAGCTACCACTGCGAGCCAGTGACTGAATGCTGATCCTGCCCTAAGGGCTACTGCCATAACCAACTAGCGAGGGTGAGGACCCTGATGTGCATGTAAGGGCCAGCCGTAGGCTACGACCTAGGTGCACAGTGGCCATGCCTCAAACCTAAAGGTCACCTGACAGGGAGTTGTCATGACACCAACTGCCGTTCAAGCGAGGCATAAGGGTCCTACCTTGCACTCCTTCATCCTGTGCAGAGTGCTTTGTAATGTCCTAGGGCGTCTCGTCTTGTCCATGAAGGGAGATGTCGTGTGTGAAGTCAAGACTAAGGTGGGATTCTTCTAATTCGAGGACTCTGCAGTGTAAATCACACGCCTTCCTATAGGAGAACGACCAAGGCCTCTGGCAAGTCAGTTTAGAGGTGCAAGGAAGATGAGCGAAAGCGAACTTCAGAAATCAAACAGCATCATACACATGAGACCAGATAGTCGTGACCTCGAACCAACAGCAGAATTGCATCACGAGTTTCACCAAATAAGAACACACCAAGAGCTCATAATTGACAATGCTGGAATAGTCTCATCATCATCATCAACGAAGAACCAATGTTGATATCCTGGGTGGCGATCGGCGCCCAGACTACAGATGGCAGATCCTATCTAGCCTACTCTACAATGCCGCCGGATGACATCAACAGATTCACCGAAGTACGAGCAGATCTCGGACAACGCCGTCGCTTCTAGCACCAGGTATGTCTCTCGTATGACTCACAACCTCGTTCCCCAACTCACAGATGCCACTTGCACCCAAGGACCACCCTGCGCCCCATCCAGCTTACAGCAGCGCACATAGGCTATGGCTGCCTGCTCCTTCCAGCTCGCCCGTGAGTGCATGAGCCTGGCAGGCGATAGCGCAGCAGCGCTTGCGCACAAAGCAGCTAGTGCCCGAATGCCACCAGCGTGGGCTGGCCCTTTCCTATATGGAAAATGGCCAGCCTGCGTGCGTGCAGCCTGGCTGTGCTGGGCCTCTGCCCAGAAGCTTCCGGTAGGCCCAAGGAGGCTGAGCCTCAGACCAAACAAAATGGCCCAGGGCCACCGACAGTTACCTGTGCCCAACTGCCCACAGCCTCAGTTGGGCCTGTGCTGCGAATCTCGCCCAGGGCCTGACTCAGATGCATTTGATAAAAGGAACCAGGCCTGGGCCCTTCCAACCAACTCGCGCTGCGCGACTGGCTGAATTTTCCTCAGTTGCGAAGTAGTCCAAAATAGGCCTCTTAAGGCCCGTCGGGCCTGCCTGCACTTAGGGCGGCCGACGCTATTGCAAATAGGGGCCCAGTAGGGCCTATCGAGGCCTTGTGCCTCGCAGCTGCCTCTTCTCCCACTTTTTTCGACTGCATTCCCACTTCCTCGTGCCCTCTTCCCCCCCCTTCCGACAGCACCCTAAAAAACCCGTAGCCCTCTCGACATACTCAACTTCCGCTGAAACTCTCCCACACTGAAGAATTTGAAACGTGCTATGGGGGAAATTTGAAACTGGTTCGGGTTCCTAAGTGAATGTCAGAACAGTTCACTCAACCATGTGCATCTAGGAATGTTTTGACGAGTAGGGCGACCTTTGAGATCCCCCCCCCACTTTTTTTGATTTTTTTGAAACAGGTCTTTATGGTCCTGTCTCCATATCCATTCTGGGGAGCGTCAGTCCGGTTCCTATTCCCCTGGCAAGTCAAATACAAACAGTTGTGAGGGTCTGAGCCCTTGGCAGCGACAGAGTGCCCTGTTTTTACTGAGCCTCGTGCCTGCCCGAAGTGAAGGTGGGCCTGCTTTTTCCCAGATGCCCATTTTTGCCCATTTCCTTGGGGACGCCAGACAGTTAGTAGGCCCTTTGAATGCTATGTGACTGGGACCTCGTGAGCCTTCCTGGTTCTTCCAGGTAGTGACACGGAAGAAGGCCTTTCGACCAATGAGATTGCAGGGAGTTACAAAGGCCATGTTGCACAGTTGGGCACACCTAACTGTTTTGGGCCCAGGCCAGTATCTGAATTTGGCCTGGGTGCAGAAACTTTGGCCCGACACAAAGCTACTGGGAACTCGGACGCCAGGCCCATGCTGCCAAGTCAGGCAAGCACTTTCCTAGCACTTTTCATGTAGGAAAGTGCCCGCCTCCAGGAAGGGCATCTGGCCTTGGCCCATTGTGCGACCAGTGTTGTTTTTGTGCGCTGTGAGGGGGCTGGTGTGGAAGGCTGGGCGCACAGAGGTGCAGGTGGAGTGGGTGCTGCTGGGGATTTGCGCTGGAGCTCTGCCAGCCATAGCCGGGCTGAGGATCCTGGATAGCCAGCGGGGTATGCTGGTGGCCCGTGGATGAGATGGACGTGCATGTGGGGGGGAAGGCAAGGATGAGTAGAGAGAGAGAGGACGCACCTGATTGTGCCCTGGAGGTCTGCAGGGACGGCATCTTCACGTACAAGTGGTCTGCTGCTGAAGTCTTCCGCAGTGTAGGCTAGTTTAGGTGCTGTGTGATTGTAGTTTGGACGTGCATGTGGGGGGGAAGACAAGGATGAGTAGAGAGAGAGAGAGAGAGAGGACGTACCTGATGGGTGGCATCTTCATTGTACAAGTGGTCTGCTGCTAAACTCCTTAGTGTATGCTAGTGTAGGCACTGTGTGGTTGTAGTTTTGGTGCTCAGTGCCATTAGGAGAAGAGAGATTGAATATATTGTTGTATGCTAGTTTAGGCGCTGTGTGGTTGTAGTTTTGGTGCTTAGTGCCATTAGGAGAAGAGAGATTGAATATATTGTTGATGGTGGCAAGAAGGGCCTGACATTGACAACTGAGTTTGTTGCCTTGGTCTTCATCGGTGTGTAACTCAGTGCATTCTGATTGTGCCCTGGAGGTCTGCATGGGCGGCATCTTCACGTACAAGTGGTCTGCTGGTGAAGTCTTCCGCAGTGTAGGCTAGTTTAGGCGTTGCGTGATTGTAGTTTGGACGTGCATGTGGGGGGGAAGACAAGGATGAGTAGAGAGAGAGGACGTACCTGATGGGTGGCATCTTCATCGTACAAGTGGTCTGCTGCTAAAGTCCTCCTTAGTGTATGCTAGTTTAGGCGCTGTGTGATTGTAGTTTGGGTGTTATGAACTTGGTTGTCTGACGAATTTTATCGCCACTCACACACAGACAATCTCACACGTGCCCATACATGCATAAGAAAAGGGGAGAGAGGAGACAGAGTCCAGACTGCACACAGGTAAAAATAAGCAGCGGAAGACAATCATGCACATATGGGGAGAAAACTCACAGTGTTTCTCACTCTCTGACACAACTCCCAACAACCAATCACAAGAAAGAACCTGCGAAGATCACAATTGAAATTCACACTGATGATAAACCACTCAATCAAATTATCGTGACAGAGTTTGTTCCAGTGTCTCGCCACCCTCAGAACTCGCACCCCACTCTCTATCCTACACCCAGTTAGTAGCGCCACATCAGAATGGCCTCCCAGAGGCCAGCGCCAACCACCCTGATGAAGAACAGGTCCTGCGATGAAGTCTTCAGTGCCGCTGGACAACTCTGACGAAGGAACAGGCAGCTATGGCTGCCACCACCCACGAGTACGCAGTGTAGAGCCTCGATGTAGCCCGGCCAGACGCAGGTACCCCAGGGGTAGATGCGCTGAGGACCAGCTATGGCAGACTCAGACTGGGCCAGCTATGGCTGCTGTCAACGGCGAAGTCTCAGGATGCCGCCTCAGACTGGGCAATGCTTGACAATCTGGCTTTGAACGTGATGTTGCAATTTGGATTTCTGTCATTTTGCTCTATCTCATTAGTCCTTGAACAGTATTACATCATATACCCACGTGCAACCTTCGGTCTGGCCGAAGGGTCCCTGAACAGCATTGAATACTCCATTTGATGGAGGATTGACTGTCAGATTGCCTTTTCCTGTGATTCCTCTCAGGTTTGTCACTAGAGAACCTGTCAGCTAAACTTTAATGCAACAAGAAAAACAGAGATAGAATCCCCCGTCCTCCTTGGAGAAGTAGTTTGTAGATGTATCCTTAGTCTTGTGTCTGAATTATGTCACACAACCTTCTGTCTGGCCGAAGGGTCCCTGAACAGCATTCAATACTCCATTTGATGGAGGATTGACTGTCAGCTTGCCTTTTCCTGTGATTCCTCTCAGCTTTGTCACCAGAGAACCTGTCAGCTAAACTTTAATGCAACAAGAAAAACAGAGATAGAATCCCCCGTGCTCCTTGGACAAGTAGTTTGTAGATGTATCCTTAGTCTTGTGTCTGAATTATGTTGCTCTGAGGTCTTACGATTCTGAACAGTGAATGCCCTGTGATCCCTGGGGTGGA